CTCACCATCAACTAAGTAGCACTCGCTAGGCAAGGGTCATGGGTTCCAAAACTTTGTGAATGGAGAGAGGTTGGGAACAGGTATTAATACTTGGTGGTATAAGCCCCCTGGTGAGGGTCTTACATGCTAATTGTACTTCCTCCTCTCTGTACTGTGGAATATCAGAGCTAATTTTGATTCCCTTAGGAGTCTAGTTACAGGCTGCTGAGCTGAATTCACTTTGGGCTAACGGTGCACCAGCCCTGAGGTTCCCCTACTACAAGCTGAAATCACAAAAGAGCTGAACTTACACAGAGCTGAAATCACTGAGTGTTGTGTTAAGTAGTGGGGGAGCCTGAAGATATATGGTGGAGCAGTTTGCGGGTCGGCGAGCGGAGCGGCTGGTGGAGCAAAGCAGTTTGCGGGACAGCGAGCAGAGTGGCTCATGGGGCAGCTGGCAGAGTGGTGCCCCATGGAGAGGTGGGGGCCATCAGATTTGGACTGCGTAAGGTGCCCCTTAACATCCCCCCCCTTCTCCACCCAGGTTGGGAGGCAAAACTCTGCAGATAAACTTTTGAACTCTGGGGCTGCCCTGACCAGGGACAGAGACTTTTGGGTCATTGGACTTTTGGGAATTTGGGTGATTTTGGGTTGCTGGACTCAAGAACCAAAGGGAAAGGACACGCCCCAATTTGCTTGGGGTGGGTTTTTTGCTCATGGATAGTGTTATGAATCCTGTTGGTGGTGTTCCCCCAACATAATGCCACATTGTTTCTCTCTGGTATTAAAAGGCTTTTTTGCTACACTCAGACTACGTGCTTGCGAGAGGGGAAGTATTGCCTCTTGGAGGCGCCCAGCGGGGGTGGTATATATTTGTCCCAGGTCACTGGGTGGGGGCTCGAGCCGGTTTTGCATTGTGTTATTGGAACGGAACCCCTAGATCCTGAACCCGGCCCTTGTTGCTGCCAACTCTGACAGGCAGAAGGATTACATTTTCAAAGGTACACTCATCAGAGGTCCCTTCTCCGACTTCTAGATCCAGGAGCCCGCCTCGGGTGGGTTGGGAGGGTACCAGATCCAGGGTGAGAAACAGTTCCTGGCTGTCGGGGAAAATGGTTTCTCCGCTTGCTTGCTGTGCGTCAACCTCCTCATCATCATCATCTTCCTCGTCTCCAAAATCCACATGCCTGTTGCATGAGAGCCCATTGAGGGAGTCCAAGCACAGGGCTGGGGTTGTGGTAGGGGCACCCCCTAGAATGGCATGCAGCTCATCATAGAAGCGGCATGTCTGGGGCTCTGACCCGGAGCGGCCATTTGCCTCTCTGGTTCTTTGGTAGGCTTGCCTGAGCTCCTTAACTTTCACGCGGCACTGCTACGGGTCCCTGTGATGGCCTCTGTCCTTCATGCCCTTGGAGATTTTTTCAAATATTTTGGCATTTCGTCTTTTGGAACTGAGTTCTGATAGCACGGATTCGTCTCCCCATACAGTGATTAGATCCAGTATCTCCCGTTCGGTCCATGCTGGAGTTCTTTTGCGATTCTGGGACTGCATGGTCACCTCTGCTGGTGAGATCTGCACTCACCTGCATCTCTCCACGCTGGCCAACCAGGAAATGAAATTCAAAAGTTCGCGGGGCTTTTCCTGTCTACCTGGCCAGTGCACCTGAGTTGAGAGTGCTGTCCAGAGCGGTCACAATGGAGCACTCTGGGATAGCTCCCGGAGATCAATACCATTGAATTGCATCCACACTACCCCAAATTGGATCCAGCAAGGTCGATTTCCACGCTAATCCACTCGTCGGGGAGGAGTACAGAAACCGGTTTTAAGAGCCCTTAAAGTCGGAAAAAATGGCTTCGTAGTGTGGATGGGTGCAGGGCTAAACCGATCGAACGCTGCTAAATCCGATCTAAACTTGTCGTGTTGACCAGGGCTAAATAACCCCAGTTCCTGCAGCCTCTCCTCGTAAATCATTTGCCCCAGCCCCCTGATCGTTTTCATTGCTCTCCGCTGGACTCTCTCCAGTTTGTCCACATCCCTTCTGTAGTGGGGGGACCAAAACGAGATGCAAAACTCCACATATGGCCTCACCAGTGCTGAATAGAGGGGAATAATCACTTCCCTCGATCTGCTGGCAATGTTCCTACTAATACAGCCCAAGATGCCGTTGGCCTTCTTGGCAACGAGGGCACCCTGCTGACTCATAGCCAGTGTGAGGTCCAGGTCCTTTTCTGCAGAACTACTGCTTAGCCAGTCAGTCCCCAGAAAAGAAACAAAGAAAGAAATAAAGACAGAAACAAGGAAAAAGAAAGAAAGACAGATGGGGAGGGGCTAAACTGGGTGGACTAAAAAGACATGAACCAAAAGTTGGGGAGAAACCACCAAGCTTGACGTAGACACAGGGTGTGCGTCATCCCCAGACCACTGTTCAAAACTCCCCCAGCCACAGTAAGGGAACCAAAACTGGCAGCAGCTGCAACACCAGCAGGGAGAGTGAGCCCAGCACCAAGTAAGGGCAGTGCGGTCCAGTGGTTAGAGGGGGCGGATTGGGACCCAGGTCTCCTGGGTTCTATCCCCAGCTCTTGGAGAGGAATCAACTCTGGTGGGTCACAGCAGGCGGGGCCAGAAGCCAGGACTCCGGGGTTCCCTCCCTGGTGCTGACAGGAGGAGTGTCGTGCTCTGTGTGGGTCATTTATTTATTCAAACGGACCTTTTCGGGTGCCAGTTGCCGTCATCCCAACAACGCCTCCTTCCCAGCCCGGTTTAATCATCTTTGTGGCCCTACCCCAGAGCTCCTGCCAGTTTGGGCACCCCCAGACAGTGAATCCTCACTATTGCTGAGACCTGGGGGGGTCGAGTCCACACCCACCCAACCGCATCTCACCCCGTGCCCATCCCTTGCAGAGATGGACCCCAGAAAAGCACCTAAATATCTCATCTCCGCCGCATCCTCACCGTCGCCTTTGCCCTGCTCATCTTGGGGGTCCTGACATGGGCTCACGTCGCTGGGATCCAGCTGGTGGCCAACCAGTATCGGATCATGGCCTTCAGCCTCTATGGAGTCTTCCTCGCCGCCCACCTGGTCATCCAGAGCTTCTTCGCCTCTCTGGAGCACCGGCGGATGAGGAGGGAGTCGTTGGCCTGTAGCTACACCAAGATGGTGGCGTTGACCATCTCGGCCTACCAAGAAGACCCCTCCTATCTCCGGCAGTGCCTGGAGTCGGTGCGGGCCACCCTGTACCCCCCAGAGAAGCTGCAGATCCTCATGGTGATCAACGGCAACAGCCTCCGACGACCGCTACATGGTGGACATGTTCCAGGAGGTCTTCGCCGGCGAGGACGTGGGCACCTACGTCTGGGAGAACAACTACCACCAGCTGCCCCCGCGGGAGGGCGAGGAGGGGGGCGGCGGCTCCCAGGGGGCAGGAGGGGAGAGCCTGGGCCCTACTCCGAGGTGGAGATGGTGGACCCGGGCCAGCTGGCGGTGGAGGAGTTGATCCGCTCCAGGCGATGCGTCTGCATCATGCAGCGATGGGGCGGGAAGCGGGAGGTGATGTACACGGCCTTCAGGGCGCTAGGCAACTCGGTGGACTATATCCAGGTAGGAGCAACCAGCTGGCTACCCTCCCCCCACCCCACCCCCCAGCACAGCACAGCGCCCCCTACTGCCGTTCTGGGCATGAGGGTCTGCCCTGCCTGCCAGGGGAGAGGCCTGTCCCCACCCCGTGCAGTACAGGCCCCCTAATACCACCCTGGGGCATCGGGCCAGCCCTGCCTGCCAGGGGAGAGCCCCCCACCCTGCCCCCTACAGCACAGCGCCCCCTAGGGCCACCCTGGGGCATCGGGCCAGTCCTGACTGTCAGGGGAGAGCCCCCCACCCTGCCCCCTACAGCACAGCGCCCCCTAGGGCCGCCCTGGGGCATCGGGCCAGCCCTGCCTGCCAGGGGAGAGCCCCCCACTCCGCCCCCTGCAGCACAGCGCCCCCTAGCACCACCCTGGGGCATCGGGCCAGCCCTGCCTGACAGGGGAGAGCCCCCCACTCCGCCCCCTGCAGCACAGCGCCCCCTAGCGCCATCCTGGGGCATCGGGACAGCCCTGCCTGCCAGGGGAGAGCCCCCCACCCTGCTCCCTGCAGCACAGCGCCCCCTAGTGTCACCCTGGGGCATCGGGACAGTCCTGACGGCCAGGGGAGAGCCCCCCACCCTGCCCCCTGCAGCACAGCGCCCCCTAGTGATGCACTGGGCATAGGGCTCTGCACAGCTCCCCCTGGGGGGTCTCCGCAAGTAACACCCCCTCCTCGGCCACCCCCAGGTGTGCGACTCAGACACCAAGCTGGACCCCAGCGCCACGGTGGAGATGGTGAAGGTGCTGGAGGCCAACAAGCGCTACGGAGCCGTGGGGGGCGACGTGCGGATCCTGAACGTCTCCGACTCCTTCATCAGCTTCATGAGCAGCCTGCGCTACTGGATGGCCTTCAACGTGGAGCGCGCCTGCCAGTCCTACTTCGACTGCGTCTCCTGCATCAGCGGGCCCCTGGGTGAGCCTGCCAGGACGCCTGGGTTCTCCGACGCTCTGGGAAGGGAGGGCAGGCTAGTGGTTAGAGGCGGGGGGGGAGTGCATCATTGCTGGACTTTATGTTGTGGATGCCATTATGTCTGTCTAATGGCCACGCTCACTGGTCAAACTTCATCTCTTTCAAAACAGTGATCCCTGCAAGGTTCGGGAGGATCACCGTTCACAGCGGTAGTAGGTTTTTATCCTGCACTGTGCAGTTTGGCCATTCCAGGCCAACAAATGCTGCCAACTTTACATCCTGTCACTGTTCACTCACACTGAAAAGATCCCACTCCAGGTTCTGAGTTTGGGGATGAAGGAGGGGAAATTCGCCGCTCTTGCTGGGTGGATCCTTTCACCTCAATTAGCTTTACAGATCGTGTGGGCGAGAGGAGGCCCCTTTCCAGCAGGGAAATGAAGGAACATAGTCTATTTATTTGTCTGTAATAATTACAAAGAGCCATTTAACAGGAGAGATTTTTATTGGGTTTATTTTATGAACTGTGGCAAATAAAATGTATTTTTTTGAAAAACCTGTCTTCTCGACCCTTGTCATTAACTTTCCTTGTTTTAATTTGGATAATTATTGATAAGCCTTCACTTTATACATGGACCCCTGGCCCGGTGCTGAGTTGCACCCAAGTCTGGGGTGGGGCGCAGGGGCTGTCTATACAGGAGTCTGACCTTGCTCCCTGCAGCACAGCGCCCCCTAGTGCCATCCTGGGGCATCGGGGCCAGCCCTGACTGCCAGGGGAGAGCCCCAGGCTCTGCTCCCTCAGCGCAGCGCCCCCTAGTGCCATCCTGGGGCATTGGGGCCAGCCCTGACTGCCAGGGGAGAGCCCTCCCACCCCGCTCTCCAGAGCAGAGTGCCCCCTAGTGCCACGCTGTGGCATCCTGGCTGGCATCTCTGTGCGCAGCTTGTGAATTTTACAGCCAGTCTCTCCACTGGCACATGGGGTGATCAAGGGGCTACCACCGGGGCAGTGCTCGAGCTAACTGCCTGCTCCAGCCCCACGCTACTAAACAGCGCTGATCCTGCTCCAAAGGCTCCCTGCTCCTTCCAGTTAGCAGCGGGTCCTTTAAGACCCCAGCCCAGCGGCGTGCGTCGATCTACCGCCGTCACTGTCCACGCTACAGCCTGGCTGCTGCCGGTGTAAGCGCCCCCCACCCTGACTTAACAACCCCAGCTCCACGGAGGCGCAGGGCTTATGTGGGTCTGGTTAGGGCGACACCGTCACCCTGCCTTCCTTACATCAGAGGGTGGCTGTCCTTCTTGTCAATTTCGCAGCTGGGGGGGCCCTGAAACTGACAAGAAAGGCTAGTAGGCTCCTGTGGTGAACCCGGTGCCCAGCTCACCATTCGGGTTTTCCTCCCCGGGTGGCTGTGGGGCTCCCGCTAGATCCCGGCGACCGCCCAGGCTCCCCGCTCCCCACCCTTTCCGGGAGCCCCGCAGTGCAGAGGCCAGGGGGCCCGGCAGGGAGGCCGGGAAGCAGTGGAGCGCCGGGGAGAACCCGGGCTCCCAGCCCCATACACTGCACCTCTTAAGTGAGCGGTGGCCTGAAGTTTGCAGTGTAGAAATTCCCCTGTTTGTCCCTTCCCTGCCCTGGGCCACCAGCTCCAGGCCGAGCCCTGTGCCAGCAGCAGATGAGTTCGGTATTATTCATGCCGGTTACTCAGCGCCCAGGCTGGGCCAGGGCGGACAGATTAGAGGCGAGACGAGGCTAGTGACGGGGGGATCAGGGTCCCTCCCAGCCCACCCCTACTGCTCTGCACAGCTGGGCTCTGGAAGCGATTTACAGATGTCTGGCCAGGGCGGATTTCCGGGAAAGCAGGAACCTGGTGGAAAAATGATCATCCATCACTGCCTGGATTCCGGGGGGTTGGGGAATGGGCCTCAGGTCTTTCCCCTCTACAGGGCGCCAGCTCCCATCCGGCCCTAAGTGCGGGACTGGCTGTCTTGGGGGGAGAGGAATAGGGCACAGGACCCTACCCCGCTAGGAGCCACCCCAAAGGGGCCACAACTCACTGTTGGGTGAGGGGTTCCTGTATAAACAGCCCCCATGCCCTACCCCAGAGGTAGCTGCATCTCAGAGCCAGGCGAGCCGTCTCCATGCATTCAAGGCTTTGGGGATTTCCCACAGGACCTGTGGGGAGCTGTGTGGCTGAGCCCGCTCCCCTGCTCTAATTAGCGCTTATCAGCCATGTCGCTGGTCGGTTTCCACCCCACCCAGTCTAGCTCACAGGCTCTGGGCCCTGGCACAGGGCTGGGACAGCAGGGCAGGGAAGGGGCGGGGGGCACTGAGGGAATGGATAGAAGGGTGGAGGAGGTGATGGGGTGGGAGACGGGGAGACACCCAACTGAGCTCAGCCACGGGCGGGGGGAGGGGGCTGAACGAGACACACCCACAGCCCCCCCAACACGCCCACACCCCGCCAACATACACCCATTGACACCCCCCCCCCATCGCGGGCCCCTTGCCCCATTCCTCACCTCCCTGAGCCAGCCAGTCCCCCGCCCTGGTGCTGGATGGGAGCCGGGATCCCAGACTGGTTCTGACCAGTAGGACCGGGGCTGAGACCCTAACAGCTCATGTCACTGAACGAGCGTCGGGTTGGAGGCTGGAGGCTGGGGGCTGCGTTGGGTGCCAGCACCACCTGCTGGACAAAGGGGAAACGTCAGCCCCTGGGCGCTGCAGTGAAGGAGACAACAAAGTCAGCAATTGTCCAGTAATTGTGTGTGTGAGACACTTTTGCATTATTATGTCTGATTTTGTGCATTTTTAAGTGACATGAAACTTGGGGGTACACAAGACAAGTCAGACTCCTTGTAAGGCCGTCTGGAAAGGCTGAGAGCCACTGTCGTAGGGCACAGCCAGGGAGCCCAGCCTGTGGGCCAGGACCCCCCACACTGGGCGCTGCACTAGCCTCCTGCCTCCCATCCCGCAGCCCCCTGCTAGCCCAGCCCTGGGCTCCCCCACAGCTCTGCCGGTGCCCCTCACTCCTGAACCGCAGCCCCTGCTAGCCCAGCCCTGGACTCCCACCTCTTCAGCTCTGCCAGTGACCCTCACTCCTCCCAACCTGCAGCTCCCAGCTAGTCCAGCCCTGGGCTCCCCCACCCCAACTCTGCCAGTGCCCCTCACTCCCAACCCGCAGCCCCCTGCAACCCAGCCCTGGGCTCCCTGAAGCTTTGTCAGTGCCCCTCAATCCCAACCCACAGCCCCCTGCTGTCCCAGCCCCCCATCCCTCCAGCTCCGTGATTCTCCCAGCTGCTCTCCGCAGCGAGGGAATAATAGTGACCCCCAGGCTGTGTGGGGCCTGTCTTTGATTAGAGCAACCTAGCAACCCCCTGACCTTTGCCTGCCAGGCGGGGCTGGTCAGTGCAGGAGGGGGCAGCTGGGGTAGGGAGGGGTCCCTGTATAACCAGCCCCCGCACCCCACCCAGGAGGTGTTTGCATCTCCACGCAGGGTGAAGTTTCCTTGTATAAACAGGCTCCGTGCCCCACCCCAGAGGTGGCTGCATCTCAGCACCAGGTGAGGGGTTCCTGTATAAACAGGGCCCACCACAAAGACGGTAGCTTTCACTCTGCAGGTGTGTATAGAGGGGTTCTGCATGCCAGAGGTGTGTGTGTGTATGTGTGTTTGTGTGTGTGAGAGAGAGAGAGAAAGCGAGCACAGAACAACACAATCACAGGCAGGCAAACACAATGCCCCAGAGATACAACCATGGACACATGATCTATTTCAGACTCTCTCTCACACAGAGCAGAACTCGTTCCCTCCAGCAGGGGGCAGCACGCACACACGCACAAGACATGTCACACCCAGTAGGGGGCAGCAGACACACACACGCACACTCCTGCTTCTAATATCACCCCCCCCACACACACACACACACACACATTCAGATGTGTGGTGGCTTATCGGGAACACACAGAGGGGAGAGATTGGTGCGAATCCCTTATACCAAGGGGGGCTGGAAGCCAGGACTCCTGGGTTCCATACCCAGCTCTGGGAGTGGGGAGGAATCCAGGATTTCGCGCGAGGGCGGTTGACGAGAAACCAAGGCATTAAATGTCCTTGCACGACCCCAGCGTCCAATGTGCTGGCAGCATAAATTCTGTGACGCCAACATCCCCGGCCCCGCTCCGGGCAGGGGGGAGGGTGGGTTTCTGGCCAGGAGGCAGCTACTAAGTGGGGGGCATGTCGCGGTGGGGGATATGGCGAGAGACAGAGAAATGACAGCCCAGATCTCCCCCGCTCAGAGCAGGACCAATCCCCAATTTTTGCCCCAGATCCCTAAATGGCCCCCTCAAGGATTGAACTCACAACCCTCCGTTTAGCAGGCCAATGCTCAAACCACTGAGCTATCCCTCCCCTACTAACCCCCCACCCTGCCCAGCGCCCCCTACTGACCCTGCTCCCTGCCCCCAGGCGGCCCCTAGGCCTTAGTCTCCCATCCAGGTGGTGACCTGCTCCCCCCCTGCGCTGAGCGCCCCCTGGCCCGGGGGGGGGGGGGGGGGAGGGAAGGTGAGCTCCGGGCATCCCGGGATCCTGCCATCCGATTGGCTACCAGTCAACCCAGGGGGGATTTCCCCATTGTCTGGGGAGCGAGGGGGCAGGGCAGGGCAGGGGAGGGGCTTCCTAAACATCCCCCGCTAGACGCTGCCGGGACGTCCCAGCCCAGCCTGGCCCCTCTGCCCTGTCCCCTAGCTCCACCCCCTGCCCCCCCCAGCTGGCCCTTCTCCTCTCTCCCCCAGCCCCCTGCCCCCCCGCCCAGCTGGCCCTTCTCCCCTCTCCCCCCGCCCCCAGCCTGTCCCCCGCCCCCATCCCCTTGCCCCCCGCCTGGCCCCCGTACAACCCGCCCCCAGCCCAGCTCAGTCCGCCCCCAGCCCACCCCCCGTCCCTCAGCCCAGCCTGCCCCCCCCCCGCCCCCAGCCTGTCCCCTGTCCCCCTTCCACCCCCTAGCCTGTCCCCTGTTCTCCCAGCCCCTCAGCCCCATCCACCTTTCCATCCCCATCCACCTCTCCAGCCCTAGATACCCTTCCAGCTACCCACCCCTCCCTCCGCCCATCCCGGCCTCCCCACCCACCTAGCCCTCCAGCCATCCCCCGCCAGAGACATCTCGGTCCCTCCCTCCTTCCCTCCCCACACACCCTCTCTATCTATCTATCTCCACACCTCCTCTCCATCTATCTATCCACACCCCCTCCCACATCTATCCCCACACACCCCTCTATTTATCTCCCTCTATCTAACCCCATACACCCCCTCTATCTATCCCCACACCTCCCCTCTATCTATCTATCGATCTATCCCCAAACTCCCTCTATCTATCTAACCCCACACCCCCCTCTGTCTATCGATCTATCCCCACACACCCCTCTATCTATCCCCCCTCTATCTATCCCCATCCACCCCCATCTATCTATCCCTACACACCCCCATTTATCCATCCCCCCACACCCTCTATCTCTCTATCTATCCCCACACACCCCCTCTATCTATCCCCACACCCTCCCCCATCTATCCATCCCCACACACCCCCTCTATCTATCCCCCCACACCCTCTATCTATCTATCCCCATACACCCCCTCTATCTATCATCAATCCCCCCACACCCCCTCTATCTATCTATCAATCCTCACACACCCCCTCTATCTATCCCCCCTCTATCTATCCATCCCCATTTACCCCTCTATCTATCCCCACACCCCCTCTATCTATCTATCAATCCTCACACACTCCCTCTATCTATCTCCAGACACACCCTGTGCCCCCAGACTCACCCTGCTTGTGCCAGCTGCCACCGGTTATGCTCCCCCCCAGCTCCCCCTGCGATCGAGGGGTCCTACTGGGGTACAAAGAGCCCCGGTCCCAACTACTCTGAGGATCCCCCAGGGCAGCAGAAGGTGGATCCCCGCCCCCCGGGCCCTCCTGCCCCGGGACAGGGGGGGACGGGACTGGGTCCCCTCGACCCACCCCTCCGTCGGCCTCTTTGCTGGGGCTGCCAGTGAAGGGTCTGGACGGGGCCGGGAGGGGGCTGAGACGCAGCAAACTCCATTCACCCCCAGGGCCATCGAACTGCTGAGCCAAAGGGGCCCGGAGCCCCCCAGCCAGCCCCCTGCCCCGGCCCCGGATCGGAGCCAGCGCCCCCTAGCGGGGAAAGGCCCCATTTCCCCCGCCGCAGCCAGCCAGTCCCCGCCCTGGGGCCGGATCGGAGCTGGGGAGGGGGGGAAATTCCCTGCCATTGTTCGCTCCCTCCCCCTCCCCGCAGCTAAGCCCTGGCACCGCCCCCCCCCCCCGCTGCCCCCGCCCCTTCCCAGCGCTCCCCGCTGCAGCAGCCAGGGGGGCGGGAGATGGAATTTTTTGCCTTGGCTTCCAGCCAAAGGCAGAGGCTGCCGGGTGCGGCGGGGGTGGGGGGTGAGCCCAGGGCTGCGGGTGGGGAGTGAGGGGCACCGGCAGCGGTGGGGTGGGAGGGGGCAGGGCTGGGCTAGCAGGGGGCTGCGGGTGGGGAGTGAGGGGCACCGGCAGCGGTGGGGTGGGAGGGGGCAGGGCTGGGCTAGCAGGGGGCTGCGGGTGGGGAGTGAGGGGTACCGGCAGCGGTGGGGTGGGAAGGGGCAGGGCTGGGCTAGCAGGGGGCTGCGGGTCGGGAGTGAGGGGCACCAGGTTTGGGGGTTCCCTCACTCTACCCGGGTACCTGAACTCAGCCCCCCATCCTTGGGATGTTTGGTCTAGCACCTCCCACTTTCTCTCTCATGCTCCCCTCATCCTGGGTTCTGGGCCCTAGAGATTAATTCAACCCCACTCCCCAAGCCAGCCACTCCCCGACCCTGTCCTGGGTCAGAGCTGGTGCCTCTTTATCTTCCAACCCCTCCCATCCTGGGCCTCATCACCCCCTCCTTTTGCTCGATCCCTCCCTTCTGACCCCATTATAAACAGTCCCCATGCCCCTCCACGGAGGGTGGGGGGGCTGTATCTCAGCACTGGACGAGGGGGTCCCTCTATAAACAGTGACGGTGCCCCACCCCAGAGGCAGCTGCCTCTCCCTGCTGGGTGAGGGATTTGTGTGTGTCCATTCTGCAAAGCCCTTGGGGGCATCAGGTGCTAGAAAGAGGTTTCTCTTTTTTGGGGGGATGTAATACCGACCCCGACAGGGGAACACAGAGACCCGAGACCTGAAAATGTCCCACCAACAACCCTCAACACACACACACACACCCCAACAGCCCTCACACACACACACACCAACACACACCCTGACAGCCCTCAACACACACACACCCCGACAGCCTTCAACACACACACGCCCTCAACACACACACACACCAACACACACCCTGACAGCCCTCAACACACACACACCCCGACAGCCTTCAACACACACACACCCTCAACACACACACACACCAACACACACCCTGACAGCCCTCAACACACACACACCCCGACAGCCTTCAACACACACACACCCTCAACACACACACACACCAACACACACCCTGACAGCCCTCAACACACACACACACCCCAACAGCCTTCAACACACACACACCCTAACACACACACACACACCCCAACAGCCCTCAACACACACACACACCCCAACAGCCCACACACACACATCACACACACACACCCTGACAGCCCTCAACACACACACACCCCGACAGCCTTCAACACACACACGCCCTCAACACACACACACACCCGACAGCCTTCAACAACACACACACACCCTCACACACACACACCAACACACACCCTGACAGCCCTCAACTCACACACACACCCCGACAGCCTTCAACACACACACGCCCTCAACACACACACACACCAACACACACCCTGACAGCCCTCAACACACACACACCCCAACACACACCCCAACAGCCCTCAACTCACACACACACCCCGACAGCCTTCAACACACACACGCCCTCAACACACACACACACCAACACACACCCTGACAGCCCTCAACACATACACACCCCGACAGCCTTCAACACACACACACCCTCAACACACACACACACACCCCTTGACAGTGCCTTCCCCCTCCCCACCTGAGTCATGCTGGCCCAGTGCGTCTGACCTGAGCCCCGGAAACACATGTCCCCCTAAGAATGCCTCACCCAGGGCTGGGCTAGCAGGGGGCTGCGAGACGGGGGTGAGGGGCACCCGCTGGCAGAGCTGTGAAGGGAAGTCCAGGACTGGGACAACAGTGATTGCTCATTATCGTTCTATCTCCTGTTAATTAATTCTACCCCCGATTAGCATCTGATAATCCCATTTATGCTGCATTATTTTCTTCTCTCTCTGCAGCAGGATGAAGCCCTGAGGTCAGGGAAGCAATTCCCGTCCCCGTCATACCAGTGTGAACACGCAGGGACTCAGGCCCAGGGCCCATAGCAGGCCGGGGGAGACCCTGAGACCAGAAACACCCCTGAGATTAAACTACAGTTCTATGTAGCTGGAATTGGCTGGCTCTGGGGGGCAGGGAATGGGGCACAGGGCCTTTTCCTTCTGGGGGCGGGGGGGTGCCAGCTCCAGGCCAGGGACTGGCTGGCTCTGGGGGGCAGGGAATGAGGCACGGGGCTTGTCCCCTGTGGGGGGCACCGGCTCTGATCCAGCTCCAGGCAGGGGACTGGCTGGTGTAGGTGGCCTGCGGGATGGGCATCGACTCAGGGAATCCTGAATTCCAGGGCGGGGAATCTGTTGCTTTTTGCTTCCGGGGCCCAGAATCCTTGGCTCTCTCCCAGCCCCCCCCCAGCCGATGATGTCACCAGCACCCCCAAAGAGCATCTCCCAGCATGCTGCTCTGCGGGCGCTCTCCTTGGCTGGGTGATGCAGACGGGGCTCGGGTCCTGGCAGGTGAGTTGAAGGTGGGGGTTGTGGTGGCCCGGTGCGTGGCTGAAGGAGGGGTAGCAGGGATCCCGCTCCCCCCAGCCAGCCAGCCAGCCAGCACCAGGGAAGGACAGAGACGCAGCTGGAGATTGTCTCTCCCTGTGGCTCAACAGCCACTTCGGGGTCTGCAGCTGACACCCCCCTCTCCCCATACACCCCGTCCGTCTGTCTGTCCATCTATCCCCATACACCAAATCCCTCTACCCATCCTTCCATGTGTCTGTCCCAGACACCCATCATCTATCAATCTATCTATCCCCAGACACCCATCATCTATCAATCTATCTATCCCCAGACACCCCCATCTATCTATCTATCTATCTATCTATCTATCTATCTATCTATCTATCTATCTATCTATCTACCTCTATCTCTGTGTGTATCGTTCTCTCCATCTCTCTCTGTCCCTGTCTCTCTCCACGTCTCTCCCTCCATCCTTCCTTCTGTGTATTTCTGTCTGTCCATCCACACCCGGAGCTCTCTCTCCATCCCTCCCCCTTGATAGTCCGGTCTCTACCCATCCATCCCCGGACACAGGATCTATCCCCCCCCCACACCCCATCTCTCCACCCCCCATCTCCCCCTGCAGCTCCGGAGCGCCCCCCCCCCCAGCTCCCTCCCTCCTTCTCTCTCCATTTCTGCATCTTTCGCTCTTTCTCCAGGCTCCGACCAGCAACCTGCCACATTCCCCCGCTCCCCCCCCCCAGCACTTCCCCCCCCGCCCGGCTCCCCAGCCCAGCCCAGCCCGCCAGCGGGGGGGGACGGAGGGGGGACGGAGACGCAGCGTCTCCTGTCTTTTCCTCTCCTGTTGCGGGGGGGGGGGGAGGCGCAGACACAGCCGGGAGAGGGGGATCGGGGCTCAGGGGGCCCCTCCCCCCAGGTGCAGCCTGCAGCGCCCCCCCACCGCCGGCTTCCCCCAGCCGGGCCCCTCGGAGGCGCCGCGGCCGGGGGGGAGCCGGGCGCAGCGGCGGTGGCGGAGCTGGTCAAGTTCGCGCAGAGGAGTCGGCGGATGGTGGGGCGGGTTGGACGTGGGGAGATCCCAGCCCCCCAACACAGCCGGAGCGGACGCGGTGAGGGGGGGGGAGACAGACAAACGGACCGACGGCAGCCTCCCCCCTCCCTGGCTTCTTTGTTCATCTCCATGGGGTGGGGAGGGGGGCGCCCCCAGGCGCGCACCGCGTCCCCCCCCCACCCCATGTACGCGTCGCGGCGCAACCGGCGCTAGGAGCAGGTAGGTGGATGAGGTTTGTAAGGGGGGGGGGCTTGGTTCGGTGGAGGAAGGGGGCCAGAGGACCCCCCCCCCAGATTGGCACTGCGCTGTGTGGCCGGGGATATGGGGGTCTCTCCAATCTCGGGGTGGAGGGGTGATCCATCGGAGACCCCCCCCGATTGGTCCTGAGCTGTGGGGTTATAGGGGTTTCTCTGAATTTTGGGGGAAGAGAATATCCCCCAGATGGGCACCAGGCAGCTCTGACCATGGGGGTCATGGGGATCCAGAGGGGACCCCTCAGATTGGCACTGAGCTGCGTGGGGAGTTATGGGGGGTCTCTCTGATCATGGGGGGAGGGGTTGGTGGAGGGGGATTCCCGCAGAATTGCACTGAGGTGCATAAAGAGGATATCAGGGTCTCTATAAATTGTGGGGTCGATGGAGGGAGACCCCCCAGATTGGCACTGAGCTGGGGGGGGGAAAGCTTTGGGGTCTCTCTGATCTTGCGGGGCTGGGTTTGGCGGGGGGATCCGGAAAGGGAGACACTGAACTGGGGGGAGAGTTTTAAGGAGGGGGGTCTATCTCTGATGCTGAGGGATCTCTTTTTGAGGGGGGAGAAATGGCGGGCAGATCCCTATTGCTTCTGTGCCAGGGCTGATCCACCCCAGATGGGGAGGGACACCAAGGCCAGATGAAGGTGGAGAGGGGGGGGGATATGAGACGCCCCTTATGGAAGCAAATGGGCGAGCAGAGAGCCCCCCGCCACGAAAGATAGACATGCTGGGGTCCAACTCACCCACTGGAGAATGGGGGGGGGGGGTGTCCAGGAAAGGAGTGGGATCTAGTGGCTAGAGCAGGGGTAGGTTGGGAGCCAGGACTCCTGGGTTCTCTCCCTGGCTCTGGGAGGGGAGTGGGGTCTAGTGGTCAGAGCACGCAGCCGCAGATGGGAGGATGGGAGGTGATGGGGCCTGCTGGCTTTTCCTCCCAGAGGCTGGCTGGAGATTCTTGTATAATAATGTTGCTGAGGACAGGGGAAGGGGTCAGCACAGAATATACGGGGGGCGGGGGGGTGTTTTAGGAAGTGTA